AGAGATCTTGGAGTTGTAGTGGATAACTCACTGAAAATGTCGAGACAGTGTGTGACTGCAATAAAGAAGGCCAATGCTATGCTGGGGATTATTAGGAAGGGTATTGAAAACAGATCAGCCAATATAATAATGCCCCTATATAAATCAATGGTGAGACCTCATTTGGAATACTGTGTGCAGTTCTGGGCACCACACCTTAAAAAGGATATTATAGCTTTGGAAAAAGTGCAGAAAAGGGCAACTCGAATGATAAAAGGGTTGGAACACTTTCCCTATGAGGAAAGGTTAAAGCGCTTAGGGCTCTTTAGCTTGGAGAAACGACGACTGAGGGGTGACATGATTGAGGTTTATAAGATTATGCATGGGAAAGAGCAGGTAGAGAAAGAGGTACTTTTCTCCCTTTCTCACAATACAAGAACTCGTGGGCACTGCATGAAACTGCAGAGCGGTCGGGTTAGAACGGATAAAAGGAAGTACTTCTTCACCCAAAGAGTGATTAACACATGGAATTCACTGCCACAGGAAGTGGTGGGTGCTACAAGCATGGACGGCTTCAAAAGGGAATTAGATAAGCATATGGAGCAGAGGTCCATCAGTGGCTATTAGCCACAAGGTATAGCTAGGGGCTCTGGGGCAAGTGATGCTCTGTCTTCTTGGTGCTTGGGGGGGGGGGTAAACAGTGGGGGGGCTTCTAATCCTGGCCCCACTGCTGGACCTCCTGATGGCACTGGTATTTCTGGCCACTGTGTGACACAGAGTGTTGGACTGGATGGGCCTTTGGCCTGATCCAACATTGGCGTCTCTTATGTTCTTATGAAAGCAAGAAATGAAAGGTAGCAGACCTTCATTCATTTATTTATTGTAAATATTTTTATTTTATTTTTAATTTATTTATTGTTTCAACTTTTACCTCGCCGAAGTTGGCTCAGGGCAGCTGACTTTTCCTTGTGGGTTACAATTCCAAGATGAAAAACATACAAAATGCAATAAAAGCCTGTTAACACCCCCCCCAAAAATGTTTGCAGTTTAAACCTCACTAAAAGCCCTCACAAATATAGTGGACTTAAAGCACCTTCCAAAGACTGTGCTTCCCTCACTTCCAGAGGAAGCCTGTCCCATGCAGTGCAAGCTACTGTATGAGAGGCAATAGGCTTTAGTAAACACCAAACGGGCTAGCTTATGCAGGGTAGCAACTAGATGCTCACAACTATTTATTTATTTATTTATTTATTACATTTGTATCCTGCCCTCCCCAGTGGGCTCAGGGCGGCTAACAAAGGCAGGTTGTCAGCTCTGCCATAGATAAAAACATATAAAAACATAGTAAAACATCAATACTAAAACCACAGTGCTCTACCCAATTACTAATATCCTAGATCCAAGATGGTATCACCGCAGTTCTAGATGGTACTCCCAAAGCGTACATATCCAGTGGCGATGGCTTGTCAGATCTTCTGTATTTTCTAAGTTCTTCCTCAGGCCTTGTCGATGCATCCATTAAGATGTCTTGACGGTGGTGGTATAGTAGGGCGGCGGCTCCTACTCAAAGGCCTGGCAGAAGAGCTCCGTCTTGCAGGCCCCGCGGAACTGCACAAGGTCCCGCAGGGCCCGGATCTCCCCCGGGAGCTCGTTCCACCAGGTAGGAGCCGCCACCGAAAAAGCCCTGGCCCTGGTCACAGAATGCCATAATTGGTGCATAGGGACATACAGAGAGAGATGGTCCCCTTCAGGTTCTTCCAATGTTTATAGTCACCTATGTTACAAAGTGACTGGGGCTAGAACCAGCATGAGGAAACCCATCTACAGCTTAGGACCATACATTCAGGGTAAATAATGGAAGAGAGGTTAAAATTGTGGAAGTGGGCTTTGTCTGCTTTCATGAGGGCTTGATGGTGGATACCGGTGGATGGTATCTCTTGCAGACTCAGCCCTGAAGTTCTTCCTGAATGACTGGGTGGGGCTGAACCAAAAGGGTGAGAGGAGGCCCCAAAGGAACATGAAGCCAGAGACCATGAAATTGATCTCCTAGAGATATGGAGACATCTTTTGGTGGGGTCTGTAATACTTTGCTAGTCCTAGCATTTAAGCAGCTGCTGCTAAAAATCTGCTTTTGGTGAGAGGCTTCAGAAGCTTGATATTAGTGTTAGATTCATACTCCTCCCCCCCCCAAAAAAAAAAAGATTGAGGGAGGTGGTATGGAAGAGGGAGTTAAATGTTAATGATGAAATTGATACTACGTAGTTCACTTGGTTCTCTGTTGGGGCAGAGTAGTGTGGCCCTCAAGCACAAGAGAGTTTGTATAAAATAGTGAACAGCAACAAGATTGCTTCCACGGTTATGTAACCCCTTTTTATCCCAATGGCCGGGTTCCATAATCTAAGGTAAGGCTCACACCCAGTGTTTCAGAAATTCTAATACAATTTAATTAGCAATGCAAAACACATTCCAGAATCCAAGACAATATCAAAACAGTTCACAAGTCAGAGTACTATAGAAAGGGAGAGTTCTACTCATAATCTACCCTGCACAAGTCACAGTGCAGAGAATCTTCTGTAAACTCTAGGCCAGGGGTGTCAAATATGTGGCCCCGGGGCTGGATTAGGAACCCGGAGGGCTTCTATCTGGCCCGCAGTGGAACGGGCTGTCTTCTGCTTCTTCTTCCAGTTCTGCTGCTGCTGCATCATCGTAGGTTTGCAGCTTACAGATACACACCTGAACAGCATACGCAAGATTGCAACAACACAGACATTTTGATGCAATAATTCAGAGCAAGAGGTGTCAGTAATCAGACACTGTTAAATAAACAAAATATTGCAAGAGTGCTAATGTTTTAAGCATGTTTTTATTTTAAGTTAAAAAAAACATTTGTGTCCTTTATAAAGTGTATATCTCCTCTACCTGGCATTACATTTTATAACACACATGGCCCGGCCCAAAAAGGTCTCATTTATGTCAGATCCAGCCCTCATAACAAATGAGTTTGACACCCCTGCTCTAGGCCTTGGGTGTGATCCAAGATGCCACAGCTGTCCTCTTGAGCAGGCAGGAGTTCTTCCAACAAAGATTGCAGAGGACCTCTTTATTCTTGTTTTATTGCCCTAGAAGCAGTTCCCCTTTCCTGCCAGGCAAAGAACTGGGTCAGCTCTTGACTAAGGTGCAGGGCCTAGCACAGCCCATGAGGAGCCTAGGTTCAGCTCACAGTGATTTCTGCTCTTTTTCTGTTAAAGGGAATCAGCTCTTTGGGAAGACAGTGGATCTGTCTCATCTGTCTTTTCAATAACCAGCAGTCACCCACCACCAGTGGGGCTGACTCCCATGTTACAAGATGCAAGACCTGCCAAGGTCTTAGCAATTCAAGAGTACAATCTTCGGGAGTCCTCTTGTCTTCATTTCCTTTTTAGTTAGCACAGTTAACTCATTCTAATACCTCTCAATGGCATGGTGGGTCTTGCAATGCATTTCCCATAAGCCTTTGTTAAGCATGCAAACTACTGACAACTAGTAGCAAAGCCATATCTAAACATCTGCTGTCTGCTAGTCACCCCTGGCCCAGAGCCTCTTTACCAGCACCAGCCTACATTCAGCACAGGCCTACACTTACATGTATGTGTGCGTGCATCCATACACTTCACCATTTTGTAGCTCCCTTTCCATTGAATTCTGTTTGCCTTCTCTGTATGACTCACATTACTTCTTTAAAAAGTAGCTATGACTGCTGAGAGGCATCATGAATGCTCTTAAGGCTTTACTCGTATATCTTAAGAATGCCCAAAGAAACACAAAATTAAGAAGGAAGGAAAGGGCATGCAAATGGTGAGAAAAGTTAATTGAAAGAAAGTACGGGTCCTCTTACATGAGAGCAAAATAAGACCAGTGGGCTCTCGGCTTTCTCAGCCCCCAGTGTAGCCTGGGTTCTAGAAATTTTGTACCCTATTTCCTCACCATAATTTACACACACAGCAGGCCTGAGAGCAACCCACCACTGTAGCCCTTATGCTCCAGTCCATTGAAGTTGACATGGAGCTGAAGGACTAGCATAAACATTTCCTAAGGGTACAATGAGATGTTGAGTGTTCGTGTGCAGCAACAACAAATGCCAGTCTGCAAAGGCCTTTAGAGGTATGTGATCTGTTGTCCCATGATTGCTCTTAAACCCACATTCCTAAAATTAAGGGATATATTAGAGGGAAGCAGATTTAATATGAGGAGATGAGTCCCTGGATAATCCAGGGTACACGTTCCTTATCTGACTCCCATCCTAGACATGCAACAAGCAATATTAATACTAGGGTAGTACTGGGTCGGGTAGAGTTCGTGTCAAGCACTTAGTGACAATGCATGGGCTAGAATCCCCTGTCCCTGAATATTTGAGAGAGTGTTGATTCAGTCTTGACATCCTGAGTTAGCTTTATTTAAAGGATGCATAGAAAATGACAGTTCCTTTTGTCTTGTGAGCTCTGAGGTCTGGGAAAGGTACAATATGATCTAATCATGAAACCACAGATACTGACTGCCCAGTGCTGTAAAGCTGTATTGTTTCTAGGGGTGTGAAGAGGGTAGGTCAGTCCATTCCTTTGCATTGGAGGCGTATTGGTCGCACTCCAGGATCAGCATTTGGGTTCCAGTAATTCAGCATTTAGCATAACCATGTGTGTGCTAAATGGAGCCAGCTGGAGCAAGATCCTTTAGTGACGCTTTGCTGCTTTGGCAGCTAGTCTGATCTTTGTCAATACCATATGTAAGAATTGGGGGAGTCCCTCCCCAAGAGACCCTGTCTCATTTGTTGGCATGGAAGGAACAGGGCGGTGGTGAGGAGCTGATACAGGCATGCTTGTAGCATGACAGCTAATAGGTACTTCAGGGTCCCCGGAGCAAGACTCCACCTCTGCAATGCTTCCACGTTTAATTGCTGCGAAATCATTGTTAAAAGCAATCAGAGAAAGAGGAACCGCGGTGCAAGTTTTGATCTTAACTGATGTTACCTCTTCTTTCTTTGCTAGAAGAGAAATATGTCACAATCCAGTCATATACCAGCCAAGGGAAAGATGAGATCGGGTTTGAAAAGGGAGTCACTGTGGAGGTCATTCAAAAGAACCTGGAAGGATGGTGGTACATAAGGTAAGGTGGGGGGGAATCACTCCGGGGCTATCCAGCCTTTTGATTATCACCTTCGCCACGGCATACCTTAAGATCTCTATCTAAAATGGGACTTCTAGAGATTTTCTTAATTCTGAGAATATTAATGAAGCTGCATAAGGTCAGTTGTATAGTGAATGCTGTATAGAAATATGTTTTTTAAAAGGCATTGGGACTGTTTGTTTCCACCAGGTTGAGAACAGTATCCAGTGAAGAGACTCTTGCTGTCCTCACAATGATTGAGATGGGCAGGAGTGATTCAGTGAGGGGCTTTTAAATTGCTGATAATGTTGGGAAGTTGTTACCAGCTCATTTGTATTTATGTGTGTTGTATAATGCTGTACAAAAAGAAACTTTTCAGAGATATATTCTATTCACATATCTGTCTTTGATTAAATGCCAAAAATACAGAATTTTTGGAAACAGTTAATCTAGAATAGCAGTAATTCAAAAAGTTTCCCTCTGGGTTGTCAGATATCCTTAAATGGCTCATTCCAAGTAAAAACTGGATTATTTTTTTTTAAAGGCATTGCTTCACATACATTATATGCCACGTAAGCATCATCTCTTTAGAGTGCTCCGCATAAGAGACTTCTGTTTCTAATTGATTTGAGATAGATCCAAGATACAAGGAGTGTGTCGTCACTGGATTTTAGCTGCAGAAGCCAGATTTAGGTTTAGCTGTAAGAGCATGTTTCCTTGGAGGTAATGCTCCTGAATTATGTGAGTTTACTCTCAAGTAAACATGCAAAGGATTGCAGCCATTAGCTTGGGAAGGAGGGCATCCAAGTAAAAAACAATTGGGCAAAAAGTTTCTTAAAGAAGCTGTGGAGTCTTGTTCTCTGGGTGGCTTATAAGGAGAGCTAGGATAAACAGAAGGAGACCACAGGCCTGTGAAACCCAACTTATTTCTGAGAGTTCCACTGGATTGCCTTAGAGATTCCATTGTCTTACAACCCATCCCGTTTGCTTGCTTGCTTTGCATATAAAACAAGATACTTTCCATAGGTGGTTGTTTGCTTTTGTAGTCTGACTTCTGGTCATTTTTAAAGCACTGGAGCAATGAATAATGGAACCACACAGAGATCTATGTGTTCCATAAACACATTCGCCCCTTACATCCTCATTAACTCTTCCATCAATAATAAATGCAAGTGACAGAGGGGGAACAGACTCCCTTCATGATGAGCAAGGAATGCTGGCCCCGTGTCAGCTCCGCATTCTTCTTTTTCTAAATCATTTACTGGACTTTAATCCAAAGCCAAGGGTTCAGGAGCGGAGTGTACAGTACTTTGCAGTATCCTAAGTTCCACTCCCTCCAGTTTATGACTGAGCTCCTTTTGTCTTTTACAGATTTTCCTGTTACTGGCAGACCCTTTTTATCTTGTGCTCAGCAGGGGCCTGAAATCTCTTGCAGTCTCAAGTGTTTTCGTTGAAGAAGGAGGCCAGAATAAAGGGCCTACTAACTTGAAAATATTTTATTTTGTTGAAGTTGTGCAAATGGGAGGGGCAGTGCTTAAGCTTGCCTTTAGATCATGCCTTCCCCAGTACTGAGCCCCAGCCTTTCAGAGTTAGCTAACTGGGATTGCCCAGTGATATGAGGAAACATTCGGCTAAGGCACAACCTGGAAGATTCAAACTAGTCTGATGGCAGCCTCAGAAAAACAGACAAGACTGTTCAGTTTGGGACCCACAGTCTGAGTCATGAAGCTGCTTCTATTATATCAGTGCAAAATCCAACATGTTGCATCTAGAGCTAGTAGGTTGCATCATATGAAAAGTTGGTAGGAAGAAAGTTTTCTCCATCTCCTGTGGTACTAGAACTCTGGGTCTTCTAATGGTGCTGGTAGGCAGTAAATGGAAAACAGGCAAAAGGAAACATTGCTTTATATGGTGCAACTTAGGAAATTCACTTTCACAATACATATGACACCCACTTCCTTTAGATAGCTTAGATAGCTCCCTAAGGGTTCTAGACATCAGATAATTCTGTCTAATGGTTGTTCTAATGCTAGTTGAATGAAACCATGTTTTCAGGCAATATAGTGATGGATAACAGTTGTGGGGGGAGCTAGCAACAAGTGGAGGCTGCTGTGTGTAGGTCATGCTAATAGACTATCCCAGAGTCATCTCGCTGGACACTATGTGAATTGGCATGCTGGACTCGATGGTCCTTTGATCTAGCAAGCTGCTTTTATGTTCTTGCCCATCGGTTATAGTGTCAGAGTAGACTAGACAACAGCACATGTTGGTAGGTATATCTTCCTTTGACAGGGTATGCTGGAGGGCTGCCCTGTTCTGCTTATATGGTTCATGATGTTACTATATTTGCCATATACTTTGAAGCAGGATCCACTACCATAACATGGCCAATAGACCAGCATTCTGTAGCATTGTGGACTGCATTGTTGGTATACTAGCTCAAGGTGTGATAGCCCTCATGAATCTGCTCCAAAGAACAGGGCTTTATGTTTTGTTGTTATGTTATGTTATGATATAATTTTATCTAAGATAGAATCCCCTAATTTGTTGTCTACTCTTCTCTGCTGTCATGAATGCAACTGATGGCAAGAAAGTATGAAAGGTAATGCTTAGGTTGGGCAATTGGGGCTGGGGTGGTGAATGGGGATTGGTGCTTGGAACAACATTAGTGCAACAGATTAAATCTGTTGTAAAGCTATGTGCTTAAACCCTGTTTAAATACATATGACTTAAGTGTTGTAGATACATGAAGTGCTGACTTTCAGTGAGAATTGTGTGAGTGCTTAACTTTGTACTCAAAGAATTTCTCCTGTGTTTCAGCTGTTGCTTTAACCAACTTTCTCCCGAGTGCCCGTTTCACAGCCCATGAACACCCAGAGCTGCCTTACATGGAATCAGACCATTGATCTATGAAGGGTCAGCACTGTCTGCTCTGGCTGGCAGCGATTCTCCAGGGCCTCAGGCAGAGGTCTTTCACATTAACTGCTATCTGATCCTTTTAGCTGGAGATGCCAGAGTTTGAGCCTGGGACCTTCTGCAAGCAAGGTCCTTCTACTAATCCTGTCTCTTGATTGTGTCAGTTACAGAAACTCATGACAGATTCATGTGAGATTTCACAAGGGGTGGGGGGAGGAAAGCAACCTAATTTGTGCCCTGCAGGTCAAACTAATTTATTAGAACTGATGGGATTGAATGGTTACTGTTAAATGCAGGGCTGCTGCACAAAACATTTGCCAAAAGTATATCTTAACTAGATTCAAGTACCACAAAAGGAGGCAATGCTAATAATTAAGCAAACAGATTCCACCTTAAAATCTTTTAACATTCACCTCCTTAAATACGATATTTTCCAAAAATCATGGTTCTGTGCTGATACTTGCTTCCCTCCCCCATTTTCCCTTCCTGGTTCGCTTCTCTCTGGAGTAATTCCAGTATTCTGGAGCTGGAAAGCAGATGTTAAAGGGGGTGGGGAAACAGACTACTAGGCAAGTTTGAATCTTTTGTTATTGTTTGAATATAAATTTTCTCACTACACAGCATAACACATGAGTAGACATTTGAGTAGCAGTGTAGTTGAGCACCACCACCCTCCCCTTTGTGCATGCACATGGGCCCTTAGTACCACAGCTTTCTGGTTGTATTGTGGTCTTCACTTAATCAAAATGGTGTTGCATTCACCCTTTTTGTTTCTTTGCTCTGCTGTTTAGGAAGACTAAGGAGGAGTTACTGGCATCTGTGGCATTCTGAACTGATGTCTAACACCCCACAAATCCAGCCTCATAACTAGGCTGTTAGACAGTACAATCAGATTTGTGTTCTTGCATAAAATGGTCATAGTCTTTTACTAAAAGCCTGAATAATATCTGTTGCCATGGCTGGGAAGGTGATGGGGATTCATTGTCTGTTGCCAGATTTTCACAGTGTAGACTGGGAGAAAGTCCATAGGCCTGTCTTGCAAAAGAAATGGCACCCTCTGTTGTAAATTCCAGAACTGCAAGTTAAAAAATAGTAGAGAGAGGTCAAATTATGCAATAAAGAACATGTCAGCTAAGAAATGTGTGTATTGTTACCAAAACTTCCTGTATGACACTGGCAAGGTCATTCTCATTTTGTCCTTGCAAGAAACTTGTGAGCCTGCCCTGTTGAACGCAGAGCACCTATATAGTAGGACTACATATCTGGCTAGGGTTAATCATGGAGTTTCCTTGGAACACAGTGTACTGGTATTCTGTATGGGGTAGAGCACTTCCTCTTGAACACCAGTGTACCTGTGTATTGGCACCAAAAGCGTCATGACCTCAGTTAGCAGCCCAGCCAAATAGCTAGGCCCCCAAGTGGCAACTGACCTAAGCTATGTGCTTGAAATGGTATTCAACTTTATTTAACTGAAGATTGTTATTTTGATTTTGTTGGAGTGTTTGTTTGGCAGACCACTATATTTTTTCTATAGAACCGCCTCTCCTGGTATACCCCCAAGGAGCATTGCTCTCAGCTGACAAAAATCTACTGGTGATCCCTGGCCCAAAGAGTGTTCAGCTGTCCTTGACCAGAGCCAGGGCTTTTTCGGCCCTGGCTCAGGCCTGATGGAACTCTACCGAGCAAGATCCAGGCCTTGTGGAACCTGATGCAGTTCTGCAGGGCCTGTAAAATGGAGATGTTCCACCTGCCCTACAGCTGAGGACAGCGAGGATCTCTAATTAGGCTGACTTCCTCCTTTCCCCTTTCCTCCTCTCCCACATTGTCAGGAAATGAGGCACTATTGGAACTCTTTAAGTTCTATTTTATCCGATTGTTGTAAATTTTAGAGTTGTTTTACATATTTGTTACAGGTTTCTAACTTAATTTATTGTTGTCACCTGCCCTGAGCCCTGCTATGCAGGGGAAGGCAGGTTATAAATCCAATAAATAAATAAATAATGTTGCAGCCAATGTGGGAAGATACTTGACAGTTTCAAGATTAAAACCCTGCTTCGCATTTCTTCCATGTTACTGTAATCCAGTGAGACCAAGGCGGTGGTCACACACAAAATAATCCATTTTCAGTCCACTTTCCAACTGGATTTTGCCAGTTCCCACAATAAAAACCCAGTTGGAAAGTGCACTGAAAGTGGATTGAAAGTGTGTGTGACTACAGTCTGCATGGGGGAGGGCGGGGAATATATGCATAGCTGGGGGTGGGGTACTATTCCCAGTACAGCTGCTTGCACTGCTAAAGAAATAAACTGCTTTTCAGGTTAAATCCTGCCATTTAATCTGAAAAGAGAATTATCTGTCCAGCATGTACTAGAAATGCAAAAGAAACCACTGGAACACCAGTACTTTTTTGTCTCTTGGTTTCATTGGGGACTTGGGGAGTGTACCTGACAGCACAGTAGGAACCAGTGGTGGTCTTTGCATAACAGTTTAGAAATTACCAGTGTAGTGAACACTGAGCATACTGTGGAGTCTGGATTACCAAAATGCCACATTAGTCTTTGAAATACAGTAAAACCGGGCCAAGTTTTTTTCAGTGCTAATGCAGTTCTTCAGAATTGGGTGTTCTCTAGAATACATGAGATACCTGGGAAGACCTTTTTCAACTGGGACAGTAATAGGTCCATATTCCATTTAACCAAGGCTAGTATCATGTGCTGCTGGAGCTCTGAATGGTGGTAAATTTATGCAAGTAATTGCTTCCCCATCCATCCACTAGAGCAAGATCAGACCATAGCCATCATCATGTGGGTTGTAAACACTGCCAGAGTCTGGCTGTTGGGCTGAAGCTTCTTTTGTGAATTTGGAGGGTTACAATCCTTCCCCAACTAGACTAGTGTCCTCCTTTTGTACATTGTTAATGAACCTTGCAGTATTTGGATAGAGAACAAGAAAATCTGGCCACTACAGTGTTTTCCTTTTGTTCTGAGCAGTTATTTGAAATAACTGGAAATGTAGCATAATCTCTTGACGCTCATTAGAGGGGTACTCACAAGGTGGCTTACAGTTACTCTGTAGCATGCTTTGTCTATACATAGGTCTATGCAGCCAAAGAAGTAAAAATTTTCTAGTCTTCGGAATTGGATGTTTTGTTTGTGAGAAAAGAATGACAGCAATCAGGGTGTACTGGGTAATTAACCAAGAGTAAGAGTCTTGAAAATGTTTTCTTCCACAACTTCTTTGATGGGCTCAGTGCCATACATGGTCTCTTGCCTTACAATCTGTCCTCACAACAATACTGTGCAGGAAGATGGGCTGAGAGAGTGACTGGTTCTTGGTTACCCAGTGAGCTTCATGGCTCATCCTTCTTTTGAGATGCAGGGTACTAAATATGTTTTTTTTTCTTACATTCAGGTACTTAGGCAAGGAGGGCTGGGCCCCAGCATCATATCTCAAGAAAATAAAAGATGATCTTTCATCTAGGAAAAAGAACTTAACAGGACCAGTGGAAATTATAGGAAACATCATGGAAATCAGCAACCTGCTGAATAAGAAATCCTCGAGTGACAAGGAAACGCAGTCAGAAATTGAAACTGCAGAATCCCACATTTCTAAGAAGGAAATTAGCTTGCCCATCTTATGCAATGATTCCAATGGCAATGCCATGGTGGCTCAAGACAAGCAGGTCTCAAAACTGGCACAGGGATCTCCTGCCATAGCACGGATTGCACCTCAAAGAGCTCAAATTAGTAAGCCTACAGTTGGTTTCTCATTGTCCTATGGCTCATTTCTCATGCCTGTTTATTGCAGGGATTGATTAAAGCAGCTTCTTAGTGTGAGGAAGGTATTGGTTCTGATGTTGGTCTCAGGGTATAGTTAGAACGCCCATGATGCTTGCTGAAATTAAGTGGGTCTGGGTCTGTCTTTACCGGCATGTGGAGACTGTTGGGAACACCATATGTAGATTCACTGTGTTCTATGGTGGAAGAAAGGCAAGTTATAAATACAACAAAACAAATTTAATCTGTAGAAACTACAACCCAGTAGGGCAGCTTACTAGTACAACATGTGAATACTATTTATGTCCATCCGCTTTTGCAAATCGCCTAATGGATAGAAGGAATCCTGCAGTTCTTATGAATCTTTCCAGTAACTTTCCATGCAGTAAAGGATCCCTTGTGGCATCTTTTATCTACAGACCATATTACTGGATTCTTGGGACTGGGACTGGCAATATGGTGATCAGCACCATGCCAGGCTGTGACACATCATATTGACTGTTCTACCAATATTACTTATGGCCTCATGTGGGCTTCACCTTAAAGTGAGATTGACATTGACTGTTCTGTTACGTTTTGGGTGTAGAAGAACCATATGGGATTTGGAAAGGTGGTTGTTAGTAAATGCTAGGGTTTCTGTGTCCTCTTAGTTAATCCAGAATGGAATACATGTGGGAGTAATCCACTGTTTTAGCAGTTATTGCTATGTTTCCAATACTTGTTAGTGTCCTATTCCCTATCTAATATTAGGTGACAGGCCCCATGTCTGATACCTGTCTGACAAAACTGTAACTTCTATACACATCTGTGATTGGTTGTAGGATCTGTGGCACACTGAGGATTATAGCAGTGGTTTGTTTTGGGCTAGGTGCTTGAGGCCCTCTTCTGTCCAGAAAGTATACTACTTTTAAAAAGTTCTGTCTGTGAGCTTTTTAAAAAAAATGCAAGTGGAGGCCAGATCTCACCTGTAACTGGACGGATATTTCAGCCACCCTTAGAATTTTATGTGCCTTCAGGGCTGAAAGGAATCACTTTTGTAGTGCCCATTAATTCAGGGCTGGACATGACATTGGGAGTTCTGTGATAGGCGCTGTCAAGAATTGCCACTTTATCCAATTCTGAGGTTCTGACCGCTGTGTGGGTAGCAAAATCTACAGAAAGGGGACAGCCATGGCTGGGAATGAAAGTTCTGTAAGCCCAAAAAAACCTCCAGGTTTGCCAAAAACAACAACGAACACCCCCCCCCCCCCAAGTTTTTGTTTTTGTTTTAAATAAAGAAGCAACAGCCCAGTTTGCAGGTAAAATCTTAATAGCAGTGTCTGCATATGCAAAGATATTGGGGATGAGGGGGTGTAATAGCCACTAGAGTTCTGATGATGTTTTGGGTTGCTGTAGCAGCCACAATGATTGCTGAGGCGCCCACCTTGAAAATTAGTGCTAGGATGAGGATAAGAAAGCAGTGAGCTGGGGGGGGGGCAACAGCAGGAGGCAGGCACAATGGTAACTAAGAGCAGGGATAGAAAAAAGTAAGGGGGAAATGGGATTTCCCTTTGCCCTATTCATTGTGGGCTCCCTCACTTCTTTCTTTATAAAGGGCAACTCCAGGGGATCCTGATCTGCACTGGGTGAAGAAGAGCTTAACTCTTTTCCTGACCTATGTGGCTCTGCAGAACTGCTGTTGCCCCATTAGGATAGTCATGTAGACACTCTTTGCCCCAGGCAGCTGCTATAAGGAAAGAAATCACTTGGGACATGGAACTCCCGCACATTATGTGCCTCCCAGATTCTTAATGTCTGAAAAGAATGTTGGTGTTTTGATTCGTATTGTCTGTTTAAATGTGGAATTCCCCCCCCCTTTCTTCCTTGCTAGGCTCTCCCAATCTAAGAACAAGGCCTCCCCCAAGAAGAGAATCCAGTTTGGTGAGTACTGGCTTTTCCTGCCACTTATGGCACTAACAAATATTTGACTTCAATAATTTGCACAAAATGCTTCCTTAGATCCTAAGTGAGGGAACCGTCAACATATGTCATGATAGATACAGTGTTGATTTGGGGACTTGCTGAGCACCCTAAAAGGGTAAATGATTTATAGGCCTGCCCTAGTGGAAGTGAGGGTTCATGAGGGAACAGAACAAAAAGATTCTGAATGGCTTTGGGAGGAGGCAAAAAAGCACAAACCCGCTTTGCATGCACAGTGGCCATTCATGGATTATGGAAATATAAATGGCACAACACAAATGTGTGCATCTCAGGTGGTTGTTCTGGAGAGGTATGTCACCAACACTGCCATGGAAACTTCACTCTTAGATATCTCATTCACATAAATGGCTTCCTATAAAACAGTGCAAGAGCAGGATATGAAGAAAGTTAATGAATAACTGATATAATAACTAGAACACCAAGATACTCATGTGTCCCATGTTCTATATGGTCAAAAGTTAAAATATTACTAGATGTTTGGGTTTTTGTCTTTTTTTCCATCTGGAGGATCACTTACATTGTGTCCATTCTTGAGGATTAAATGTCACATTGCAGAAGTCCGCTGCATAAGATTCTGCCTTCTATTGACAGGACTGGAATAGGTGGTGTTAGATATAAGACTCGAGGCAGCAGGTGAACAGTGATAACAGCTTTATTGAACACCAAGTCAGAAGAACCAGAATGAGACGAACAATGGAGCAAGAGGCTCCTTTTTAAACAGTCCGGGCTTGGCAAGCCACGCCCACATGTCAGATAAGATCCAATCAAATGCAGTACATAAAGACCAATCACTTTGCTTTCCTCCAAAACTTCCCTTGTTCTGATAGGTCGGTTTACAATACCTTGGTCAGACTCAAGCTCAATACATTCTATTTCATACACAACAGGTGGGCCAATGTACTACTTACTCTTACTGACAGTAGTTCCAAGGTCTCAGGCAAAACAACTTCCCCAGCACTTGAGATCCTTTCGCTAGAGATGCTTAGGACTTATCCATGGCCTTTCTGCACACAAAGCATGTCCACCTGTAATTTTGTTGTGAATCCTTGCCTGGACAATTCTGATTTTACCTCTAAGCCAGACAAGAGGTCTAGCCCTATCTCCTGTGAACTGGAGGATTAGATCTGGTGCATCTGGTGCTTTTACCTATAGAATTTTGTTAGTTAGAAGCCATGATTAATTTATACCTCACTTAAAGCCATCAACTGCTCTGAGGAAAATGAAACTTAATCCTTAGTGACTGTGATGGCTTTTTAGCAGAGACCAGGTGGCAGACATGCATCTTAATTATAAGTCACAAATGACAACAGGACTCAGTTCACTATTCTAAGAACCCTTATGTTAGTTCCTTGGATTACATTAAGTCTCTCAGTGGTGGTTTTTGAGGCTGCCCTGATAGTTTAAAACTCACTCCATAGTATGGGTGCATTTCACTACACGTGAGTTCTATACAGGTACAATTTATTTCAAGAGGCCTATTTAAAGTCAATAAAGGGTATAAAGTAGTAGTGCATAATTGATTTGCTCTGGTATATTCATTAATTGGAGAAACTGAGCAAAGCCTGGAATGAGTAGGATATTTCACATTTGCATATGAAATGTATGAAATTTGCATGCTTTAAGAGCTTCACTGTGTGACATTATGAATTGGAATTAACATAGGCAACTCAGCTTTGATTAATTCCAGTTTATTTTAAGACCTGAATAAATTATATGGATATGAAGTTGAATTGCAGTATTACATTATTATAAGTTCCTGCTTCTTTCCAATAAAATATACACATTTTTAAATATCATGCTTTACCATATGGAGAATGTGTGTGTTGCCTAACAAATAGGAAGAGGTCCTACATTCAAATACACCACTGGAATCCATACAAATTCCCTTGCCCCAAATCCAGCAAGCCATCAATGAGAAACAATAGAATGTTGTGTAGAAATCAGCTCCACTACCAGCAAAGAAAGGATACTAGGAGGAAAGAAAACATCCCACAATTGCAGTTAATCCTATAAAAAAGTTTGGGCCACAATGGTTCTGTTTTTGTTGCTTGGCTTTTGGCTGCTGTTTCATCTGATTCTCATGACCGTCTAGAGAGTTGCAACACATAAACCACAAAGCTCCTGGTCACAGTATTCATTACTCTGAATGGTCTGCCTTTAGTTGTACTACTCCAGTGTGATTGGCTGTGGAATCTGGGGGGCCTTTAGGCAGAAGGTTCTTCATGAGTATGAAGTTTTCAGTAAGTAACTGCCATTTTATATGTGGGGATAACGTCATCAGATCATGCTGAATAAATATGGAGAGCGAGCACAGCTCAATGACAGGGCACAAGCTGCTGCCAGAGGTGGACCAATGGCATGACTTTGTATAAAGTAGCTTCAAATGCTCCATGTAGCCCAAAATAATTTCTGAAAGAGCAACTAATATCAGTAGATTATATAGTCTTGTCATAGTGTATTTCCGAGGAGTGGGTAGAAGTTGACGACAGAGCCATAATTGTCCATTCCAGAAAGTGGAAAGGGAGAAAGTCACACGGTGCTTTCCACACAGTCGTATGTCCAGTGTAAATTCACACGACTGAGCTAGGTATAGATGGGTATATGGGTACAGGGAAAGCTTACCAGCTTTCACACAACTCTTGGCACTTGCTTAGAGAGATCCATCTGTTATTTCAAGTATTTTAATTTTGGCGGAAGACTAAGAATATGGACTTGTAGCTTCTGGAAGCATCAGGACCTGAGAAGAGAAGAAGAGAAGAGATTGGATTTATACCCCGCCCTTAACTACCCAAAGGTGTCTCAGAGTAGCTTACAAACTCCTTTCCCTTCCCCTCCCCACAACAGACACCCTGTGAGGTAGGTGGGGCTGAGAGAACTCTTGACAGAAACTGCTCTTTTTCAAGAACAGCTGTGCCAGAGTTATGGCTTGCCCAAGGTCATCCAGCCAGGTGCAAGTGGAGGAGTGGGGAATCAAACCCGGTTCTCCCAGATTAGAGTCCACGCACTTAACCACTACACCAAACTGGCACACTTAACCACTACACCAACCTGCTCACCCAAGATGGTGCCCTTTGAATCATCATTAAAATGCCCACTTCAATATTATGCACAGGAATTCCACAATTTTTCCATATTTTATATTTCATTCCCCCACCTTTCCTTTCTGTATGCCAGGTTATGATTCAAGAGTATTCTGAATCTTCTTCAGAGTAAGGCAGGAAATGGTGGTAAACATGAGGAAAGCAAACAGAGAGAAAGATAAACAGAGAGAAACAGGTGAGGGAGAAAGGCAGCCAGTGGCTTATTAACTCCTTCCTGCTCTATTTCCCTGTATTTAAGGGAGCTTCAGGAGTTAGAGCTTGGTATCCACGTGGCTTCTTTTCACATGACAAATGTAACATACAACCAGACTCTGAGTCTGGTTAATGTTTTCTCTTCTGAATCTTCACCCCCCCAACCTCTTTGTACTAATTATTTTTAATTAGACTGTATTTGGCATGAATACTTATAATTAATTCCATACTGGGAATAAATGCATGCATCTTTAGGGACTTCTGTTTCCAATTGGGTTAATCTAATGTAAACCATCCCAGATTTTGAAGATATTTGTTAAGAATTTAAGAAGAGCCCTGCTGGATCAGACAACTGGTCCATCTAGTTCAGCAGGATAGCCTGTCTCACATAGCGGCCAAGCAATTCCTCTGGAGGTCCAACAACAGGTTAAGGAGGTTGATGCCTTCCCCTGATGTTGCCTCTTGGCTCTGGGATTTAGAGGTTTAGTGCTACAGAACATGGTGGTTCCTCTGAGTAACCATAGATGGTAGCCACTGATAGAGCTATCCTCCATTAATCTAATCTCCTTTTAAAGCTGCCTGTGTTTGAGGTCATCGCTAATCCCCTGACAGCAAATTCCACATTTTAAATTGAATTGCATGGTATATTAATATTTACAGTACCAACATGTGTTAAAGAAGCACTACTAAATATATGTGCACAAGCACCCCTTCTGCTCCTGTTGACCATTATGCTTTGCAAGTCCCCCTCTACAATTTACATAGAGTACACCTACCAGACAGTCCCAAGGAGTCTGCACTGCAAAGAGTGTCAGACAATCTGGGATGAGATTCCTTTCCTTCAATATAGTTGGTGTCAGAATCAACAAGCATCATAGGGGGAGGGGAGTGCTAAAGATTGGCTTGCATTCTGTGAAGTAGTAGACAAAATGAAAAAACACGAGTTCATCTGTGTTATGGGATGAACTCTAGTCTATCCAAGCTATTACATTGAGATAGTGTGCCCAAGCTTAGTTAGGTTGATAACAATGATCAGTGTGAGTTTATAGCAAGTTACTCAGCGTTTAAGTGGTATAAAAGTACAGTGGTATAAAAGTACAGATGACCAATATTAAGGTTCTTAGCATTTTAAAAAATAGTATTATAAATATTTGCATAAGAAGCCATTAAATCCTCCTCTAGGTTAGAGAAGTGAAGAAGGGAGGGCAGAAAAATTGGTAGGGGAACCTGTTTTAGAGCATTTTTTCACATATTTGTAATATTATTACAACTAGGAGTAAGGTCCGTTGTGGGAAGAAATACAATGAGCTCTAGAAGGAAGCTCCAGGTGAGTGGCTGATAGGGTGGCAGAGGGAAGGTGAAAATAGAGGGAGGCAAGCCATGTTTATTTCCTTCTGCTTAGCTATAAGGCAGGGCTGTCTCAAGTCATTTTGCTGCCCCAAGTGGGTAGTATGGGAGGACAGCCTCATGGTAATAGGTATGGTTCCCTCCACCCCTGATTTATGTTGATTTGGGGTTATGCAGTGGCAGCTAAAGTAGAAAAGCACTTCCTCCTATGCCATGTCTTCTGGGTTCCAAGGGTTTGGAAAGCGGTTCCATAGCCAGTTACAGGGTTGCCAACTCTGGGTTGGGAAATACCTATAGATTTGAGGGTTAGAGCCTGGGGAGGGCAGGGTTTGGTGTGCAGAGGGACCTCAGCAGGATATAATGCCACAGAGTCCATTGCCCAAAGCAACCATTCTTTCCAGGAGAACTGATCTCGGAGATCTCCAGGTGCTGCCTGGAGGCTGGCAATACTAAGGGGAGGGCCAGACCTGTAGATTTGAGAGGTAGAACCTGGGGAGGGCAGGATTTGGGGTGTGGTGGGACTTCAGCAGGGTATAATGCCATAGAGTCCACTGCCCAAAGCAGCCATTGTAATAGCTGGGAAATTTTCTGTAGGGGAAATGATGTGCTGTGGCTGGGGAACATGGTGATTTCTGGGAGATCTCCAGACCTCACAGGGAGATTGGCAACTCCAGTGACCATTTAAGGGGAAATTGGGATATGTATTTTACTTCAGGGCACATTCAATGACTCCCAACAGCAACAACAAACTGTTTAGAATGTTAAAGGCAAAGGCCAATCAGGCTGCATATGCAAATGACCTCTGTGTTCCGACTGACTATTGGGGGGAGAGGAACAGCAAACTGTTTAGAATATTCGAGGTGAGACTCAGGCAGTGATGCCAGTGGATAGGGACAGCTTCTGAGTAACAGATTAGGGAGCCAACCTTTTGAGGAGTGTGTGTTATGTTCAGGAGAGTCCATGACCAAAACACAGAGGTCTTCGGGGGGGATCGCGGGGGATCGCAGTTCCCCCGGGTGAGGTGGGGTGGGGCACACGACGAAGCCCCGCCCCCTGCTTCCAGCTGCCCCGCTTCCGGCCCTCATTCAGCCAGGAGGAGGCAGGAGAAGAGGGAGGGTAAGTTGCTTCCTCCCTGCCTCTCCCCACCCCTGCCTTCCTGGGGCCAGGGAGGGCCTTGGTGGGGCTTCCTCGCACTCCCGCTGGCCTTGCAGGTCCACCGCCAGGCCCCTGATGTCAGGGGGTGTGGAATATGCTAATGAGTTATGCTAATGAATTCCCCTAGCTCTTTTTCTACGAAACGACCCCTGCCAAAACAGAATTATTATATAGAGAGATAAGAATAACTGAAAATTTTGGGAACACACAAAAAACCTCTTGTGAAATATTTTTTCCTCTTGGCCTGTAAAGTGCTTTTTAAGACATTTATAGTTATTAAATTTTATAAATATGCCAAATATTACAGTTTTATATGCTAAAATCCCCCGCCCCCAAAAAAGAGGGGGGAAAGCTTCATCATTTCAGGAATGTTTACATCTACTATATCCACATTAAAGATATTAATAGGCTCAAGGCCAGTAATTGTTAGTTCTTGTATGAGCCCACTGTATTTGCAGCCTGAGCTCTCATTTTTCATAACCCAGTGAATGCAACTTCAGGCATTAAAAAGCAGGAAACCTCACTGATAGTGCTGTGTGTGTGTGTGAGTGAGTGAGAGAGAGAGAGACGTTTCCCACAGGAACGGCTCTCCCCACTCTTGCATTTGTATTCCTTCACAGTTTTTGGTCATTTTTACAGAGGTTTCTGTAGTCCCAGATGCAAAAACGAAGTTTGTTCTCTCTTGTGGCGCAGCATCAGACTTCCCTGTTTCTGGGAAATCCCTTGCTGCGTCACAAAAGGGGGCAAACTGTGTTTTTACTCCGGGGACTACAGGAACCTCTGCAGAAATGACCAAAAACTGTGAAGGCATACAAATGCAAGAGCGGGGAGAGCCGTTCCTATGGAAAACAGTTCAACCAGGACAAAATCAAAAATTAAATTTCTGCCTCCTCCAGCTGCTAACTGATGTTACTGATCTCTACATTTTTGTGTGTAGATTACTCTAGGCTATCTATGATGATACGGTGGTGATTTTTTCTTCTTCAATACAATAAACAGAACATTTGATCATTCTAGACTCTTGCTGAATCTTTGTAATATGAATCTAAGGACTACTCATTTATTGCAGGCTAGTTCTTAGAATAGAAAGAGGGGTCTGCTTGGCATGGTGGTAAGAATGCAACTTAAAGATCAGCATTTCTAGCTTCTGAATTATGTGGTAGGGAAATGATTGGGAGTGGGGGGTGGAGAATGGTCCATCTTCCTGGAATTCCCTGCAAACATTTGGGTATTGAGCAATGCTCCCTCTAAGCTATGGAGTCTTGTGAGCAAAAATTCTACTTTGTGAGCTATTGGCATTAAAGCTGTGAGTGAACAATTTAGCTACTGCATAAATTAGGCTCCGGTCACACAGAAAAGCGGGGGGGGGGGGGGGAAGCGTGGCTGTTTGCCCTGGGGCAAACTAACGCACGGTTAAGTGATCAGACCTCCCGTGGAGGTCCTGTGGTGGTACCGTGGAGGTTCCGTGGGTAGGGAGAGGTGCCGATCACAGGACAAGCCTGCGCGCAACGAAGAAGCGCGCGGTGTGGCAAACTGGTTTTCTTTTTTTGTGTACACGACAAATGCACATGCTCCGTTGGGTGCGTGTGCGCATCCACGGAGAATTGGGGGGGAACCTTTTGTGCACGGGGACATGGGCAGGCACCGGATGCCACCGGAAACACGATCAGACGCCCGCCTTTGCCCCGCGGTTTCCGGAAACTAGTACCTCCGAGGTACTAGTTTTTTGCTGCGCGTTTTCGCCGGGAAGCCTCGGTTGTGCCACGGAAGCGCTACGCTTCCCAGATGTGCCGGTAAGATCGTGCCCGGAAAATCCGCCTGTCTTCCATCTCTCTTGCGTGGCTAATGTTCCATGTGACCGCAGCCTTAGTTTGCTCTGAGGGCATCCTTCCTGAGCTAAGACAAAAATGTGTGAGTCGGAGGCTAAAAAACTGTGAGCTAGCTCATACTAACTCAGCTTAGAGGGAACACTGGTATTGAGTGCAATAGTAGTTGACCATAGTTTAGATGGGTTCCCCCCGCGATCCACTGTGTTATGTATTGCAGACTTTCTTCACAATGTCCAACCCTAAATCCTATTCACATGAAATGTCCTTAACCTCTCAGTCAAACTATACATTAAGAGGTTTGGACAGGCATTAGGGTTGCCAGGCGAGGGATTTAGGGGTGCCAGGTGAGGGATGGGTGGCATTCGGGGGGTGGGTGGTTCATGGCTCCCAAAAGTGGGGGAAACTCTGCTGGAAACTGGGGGCTGGTGACCCTAACGGGCATATATATTGTCTGTGTATGTAATGGTTCATGAGGTCTAAGTAGCAAGATAGAGTTGTTTATCCATCTCTGCTTTCATATAGAGCAGGTCATTGTCTAAAAATTAATACTGGGCCCTGTTTTCCCCATGTCTACTCCAATTTTAAACTAAACTAATATCTTCTTGTGACAGGGTTTCCAGCTACCCAAACCCCCTGAGCCACCATCAGTGGAGGTTGAATACTACACTATTGCAGAGTTCCAGTCTTGTATTTCTGATGGGATAAGCTTTCATGGAGGACAAAAGGCAGAGGTGAGCCTGGAAATGGAAACACAAATAAATAAGTGATGAGTTGCTTGCTTGTAGAATGGTCATCTGAATAAAAAGAATTCTGTAGCATTGTTTTTCCTTAGTAACAATCTTATTAATCATCCTTTAGGTTATTGACAAGAACTCTGGTGGCTGGTGGTACGTGCAAATTGGGGAGAAAGAAGGCTGGGCTCCTGCATCCTATATTGATAAAAGGAAGAAGCCTAATTTAAATAGGCGAACTAGTACTTTAACCCGACCCAAAGTCCCTCCTCCAGCTCCTCCCAATAAGCAAAAAGACACTGATGAAGGAACATCTGCAGGGACCATAACTCCTGGAGATACCCAGGATTCCATGAACAAGCAAAAATATGAAGAACCAGAATATGATGTGCCTGCTTTTGGCGTTGACTCAGAATCTGAGCTGAGCCAAGGAGAAGATGGAAGCCTGGAGAGGGGCATGCACCAGCTAAAGCTTTCCCCTGGGTCATCTCTCCAGAGGGCAAACTCAAGTGTTGGAGAATCATCTGAGGATGTGGCTCATGAAGAAGAGACTATATATGAAAATGAAGGATTCAGACCATACATAGAAGATGGTCTGTCAAGCAAAGAGTCCAGTGGTGATTCTGATTCTCAAAGAAGTTCATCAGTATCTTTGATTCAAAAAAATTCACCATGTTCTGTTTCTCCCAAGTCCTCGCTTCTTAAGCCCAAAAGTGACAAGGGCATTCAGCCAAACCTTGGGAAGCCTAACCATTCCAGGAATGAGGAAACAAAGCCAAGGTCAGCCTCAGATGCTGGTTTAAGTAGTGTGTCTAAATTGGGCTTAAAGAGGGATCCTGGGGAGAATTTACCTAGCAAAGCAAAACCAATGGTGAGGCCTAAACCTTTCCTGAACAAAGCAGACTCTCAGAGTCAAGAAAGGATGGACATTAGCACTTTACGCCATCAGCTAAGGCCCACTGGCCAGCTCAGAGGTGGACTTAAGGGTTCTAGAAGTGAGGAATCTGAAAGCCCGCCATATACAGCTTCTGGAAATCCAGAAGAGCCCTTCAGAAGAAGCTCTGCAGATCTCATTACAGTTCCTCCCCATACCATATTCTGCTCAAACCAGTCAGCCAAAACAGAACATGAAAACAACTCCTTGAAATGTCTCTATATAACTACTGACTCTTACCAGAAAGTTCAAGATTCTGAGATCAGCTTCACAGCAGGCATTGTGGTGGAAGTAGTGGAAAAAGAAACAAGTGGATGGTGGTACTTGAAATATGGAGACCTAGAAGGATGGGCTCCTTCTCAGTATTTGATGCCCTGTGATAACCAACAGAAAGAAATCACATCCAACGAGACCAACATTGCACTGGCCAAGAACAGAAGAAATGAAAGCAAATCCAACAGCTTGGAGAAGATAGAGAAGAAGGTCCAGGCACTGAACACGATCAACCAGAGCAAGAGAGCAACACCTCCTATTCCCAACAAACCTCCTGGTGGCTTCTCCAAAACATCTGGACCTGTCAAATTGCGAAATGGAGTTAGACAGCTAGCAGTGAGGCCACAATCTGTATTTGCCTCCCCACCACCCAAGGACAGCAACCTGTCTTGTTCCTTGCGTAGAAATGAATCTCTCACTGCCACGGACCACCTGAGGGCAGTACGCCGCAATTCATCTTTCAGCACTGCCCAGTCACAGATCAGTGATTCTAAGATAAAACAAGCTGATCGGTTGGGCTCTGAGGCATCTGAGACCACCTCATACCTACCTACTGAGCGAAATGGAATCCCAGTATCAACAGTCAGGCCAAAACCCATTGAAAAATCCCAGTTCATTCACAATAATTTAAAGGATATTTACATCTCCATTGCAGATTATGAGGGCGATGAAGAAACTGCTGGATTTCAGGAAGGTGTCTGCATGGAGGTATTGGAAAGGAACCCAAATGGCTGGTGGTACTGTCAGATCATGGATGGTGGGAAACCTTTTAAAGGATGGGTGCCCTCAAATTATTTAGAGAAGAAGAATTAGAATGGCAATGTCTTTAAATTCCCTAATTTATACTTTTCTACTACATACTTATGGAGGCAAGGAAAAATACAGTTACGTATTTCCTCTTGCTTTGTCATGTATACAAGGGACATTAAAACTGTACTTTGCTTGGATCAGCAAGTTGGCCATGTTTTGAGGGGGTGTGATGCATGAAGGGTTGGCTGCTTCAGCTAATACCAAGAAAAGGCAGCTGGAACAAATGCCTTTTTTGAGAGGTGAAGTCTTTCACAAACCATGTGCAGCAGGGTACATTATCCCACCATCCTGTTGTAAGAATAGGAAACCAATTGTGTGCCTTTCTCAGTATATTTTGTACCTAGCTGGCCACTAGGGAATGTTAGGGAGTTCGTGCCAAACCTGGACATGCTAAAAATTGCAGCTTGTTGAATTTCTTCCACGTGAAGTCTGTAAGTATTTTCAAGCTGTGGATGTTTGCCCTAAGATGTATTTCGAGTGTGCAACAGAGTAGGTGATGAAACTAATTCAACCCAACCATCAACTATGACACCCTTCTCAGCAGATGATTGTTTGAAGACTCAAAGCCTTTTCACTGTGCATTACTGGTATCTGACTCAGACCATATTTTTCCCTTAATACTTCATTTCTCTCTCTTCCCTTCAACCCCCTGTGGCATTTATAGTGCTGTTCTCCTGTGGTATCCTGTGACAGCAAGTTCAACTGTTTTGTTGGGAAGGGTCAAAACTTTTTTAAAATTACAATTTGAAATGTACCAAAGTCATATGTGGTTTCTAGGTGTTCATGAGCACACTAAAATGATGCTTTGTGCACACCTTTTCTGCTTATTGATTGGTTTTGTGTTTAGGTTCTCCTGGACAGCCAGTATTGATACTTCTTTTATAATGGGTCTCATGCTCCAGTGCTAATTGAGATCTTTTCAAATCTCCCTAGTTGGACTGTGCAGTGGAAAAGGTCTATACAAAAAAGAAAGCCATGATTGTATGAACCTCTTTACTATACCATGACCTGGTGGGTTTGGCTAACTAGCAACATAACCTTAGCTAAAGGGAAGGGTTTCTTGGCCATCCTTATCTTCCTTTTCTTCTTTGGCTGATCCCTTGTTGTACAGAGCATAGATTCAGAAGATTCCTCCTTCGTGTGACTCTCCTATTGCTTTTATGAGGTTCCTAAAGCCATGTATGCTTCCTGTCCGTCACTCATAAATACTGCAAGGCTCCCAGCTATCACAGATGGCAGGCAGGTCTTTTGACTGGGAAACTAAGCTGACAGTCATTGCACTGTGGTAGCGAAGCAATGGCTTCTTCAGGATTGTCTTAGAAGTTCTGTTGCTCGTCTCCTTGGGGCTACTGGAATGGAGTCCAATGATCTGCATGTCCACCATATGAAAGTGAGAGCTGAATCTGGCATCTAACATTTTCTTTTCACAGTGCATTCTCACAGCCAGGATGCATCACATAGATAAAAGTTCCAAGTGATTGAATTATCCCTGAGTGTCGGTGAAAGCTCTGGAATTTACTTCTACATAATATATTTGCAGTCCAAAGCCCACATTGGCTGGAGTTTCCCATTCTTTGCAATAAAGGGGAAACCTTTACATGAGCATAGAGAGACTGAATCCCCACTGTACATGCAGAACATTTCTTATAGAAGAAAATGAGGAGATATGTGTGTACATTGTAGTTTCTGCATCACAGCCTAGCAGCCATTCCTGAATGATACTGAAAATACTGGATTGGTAATGCCCGTGCCTCAAAAGGAGGAGGAGCTTGCACAGTGTATGACATTTTCAAACAGCAGCATTTTCATTTGTCAGAGAAGCATCAGTGTTTACAAAGAAGTGGGGAGAGAGAAGAAGCTATGGATTTTTACACTCTGCACCATCTTTGTATATTTGAGGAATATCTGTTTTCTGGGGGGCCCCCAAAGAAAACTGTAGCAAATACTCACTTCGCTGTTGGTTCTGTATTGGGAGGAAAGCACCTGAGTTTTTCACACTCACGGAATGGAAATTGCATGAGCGTGCCATTAGGTGAAGAATGTTGCTAAGCATGAAACATGTGGTATCCCATTTTGCCTTCTCTCACTCAATTTCCTTCCTCACTTATTTATTATTTCAAGATATGATACCTTGTGGTACAACATGGACAAGATTAAAACCACTGGGGAAAGGCTTGGGGTGCAAAAATGTATTTTGATGTGGCTTCAAACATCTGCTCATAAATAAACCCTGTATCTATAAAAGAAGCCTCAGAAGACCTTTGTTTAAGAACACTAGAGGTCAGACAAGAGCTTGACGTTCTGTCTTTAGGGTCACCATTTTGTGTATCAAGAGGGAAAAACACCCATTGGGTTTTGCTGTAACTGTGACACAATAAGTAGCTCTCTTGTCTTCTAGCAATTGCTTATTCCTGTTACAGGTTCAAAGATAAAAGGATAGGAAGGTTTTAATTAGCTCAAATTAGTTTTCTTCTAAAGACGTTAGCATACTATGAAGAGGCGGTGTTTTGTTTGGTTTCCCCCATTATGCAATTTTTGCCTCTCACTCTATTTAGTGCTCCTTGCATACTTGTATTAAAATTACTATGGCAAGTGCCAAGGGATTGATTTCTGCCACTCATGTTGCTATTGGCCTTTCACTTTGATCATCTGACACCATCAAAGGTTGACCCACCCAGGTTCTGTTGCTATAGTTCAATTAGCATGGACAAAGAGGTGGCATGGGGCAAGGAGGGAAACTTCACTAAAATTAGGCAGGGAGAAGAACATTATCTACATTGTGAAAATGGTGCAGATTTGGTCCAAAGCAGCGAAAACCATCTTAAAGTTTTTCTTCCTGAGGCCTAGCAGCTCTGGAAGTTCCCTCCATTTTTCAGTCCTGCTAAAATCTTAGCAGCCATTTAAAGGATTGCCAGAGCTGCTGTGAGATTATAATAGAAATATTAAGTTCTTCTGCTGGACAGTATTAAATAGAGCAATACCTAGAGTAATCTGCTAGATTGCAGTACTAATAGTAGTGATTTAGCAATTCTTATTAATGTTTTTATGGTTAATTTTTAACAATAATGATGAGGAAGTGGTTCATTATTTTAATTAATGCACTTTAACCATTAAACCAAAATGCAGAAAATCAAGTGCATTATTTAAAGATGCAGTATATAATTATCATTGTTTAAAGTTCAGCTATTTATTAAAATAATTTATAATTATTTAAAAATGTACTATACAGTTTTGTTCTAAAGATGTCATCATCTCCTGGGGAACCTAAAAGTGCAACTCCCCAAAATTCTGCAGTGAGCTGTTGGATTCTCAAAATACAGTTAATTCAGTTAGCAAGAATTAAATTGCTGCCTTGAGAAAGAGGCATATGTTTCTTAACGGAGAGACATGAGCTTCCTAAAAATTATGCTGCCTTAAGTCCAAGGAGAGAAGGTAGGATATAAATGTTTTAGATAAATAAATTCCTAAATGTAGCCCTGAGGAATCTCCTGTGAGGAGCTCATGCCAAGTAGAGTCACAAGATCTCCCAGATTCCCTCCCTCTCTTCCATGTGCTACCAGCTGAGGTGTCTTTGGTATTCTTGTAGTGCCCAGTGTTTCCCTGGTGAATGCAAACAATTCTTCATCCACAACATGCGTGGAGGATCATGACATGATAAATGAATAATTCTGAAGATGCTTCTTCAAATGGTCTCTGAGAAAATAAGTATTTCTTGCTGCATCTAAGACTTATGGCTGGTCCACAGTTATATTGATGATGGATGTGGTTTTCTTGGCTATCTCTTCTGTGGCGTTATTACTCCCCGGCAACCAAAGCCATTCCATTCATAGTTAATGTCTACATGGTACAAAACAAGCACGGGGTACATAAGTGCTGACGTCTTGCAAGGGTCTTATGATGAGCCCAGAATTACTTAGGATTTCTTAAACATGCTTAATTGGTAGGGTCTTTCACACATCAAACCAAACAACCCTAGCTTGGGCCAACGGGGCACTCTGGTTGCCACTCTCATAATGGTGGTTGATTTCTGTGGGGGTGGCATATTTGGCGATGTAAGCATTCTTTAGTTTTGCATCTTGCCCCTACCAAAAAGTGTCTCATGTTGGTCTGACCTGGATCTGATTTCATGATGCATGAAAGTAACAGTTGAGTGCAGAAGTAGAGAGATGGTGATCATGTAAAGGACACTAGCAAGCACCTTTTAAAAATAGTCAGTTCACTGTTTTCCACATTCCCCAGCCCATAAGGTTGGTCATATAGGCAACTTCGTCAAAAAGCATTACAATGACTAAATTGTTGTAAAGACATCTACATTCACAACCATTTTAAATGACTGGTCTTCAAGATCTCTCCATAAGAAACTTTCCCTCTCATCCTATTAAATTCCCACTCAAAAATGCCTATATTATTTGGGGAAGGCAAGGCAACTCCCTATTTTTAAAACTAAATTTGTCAAAATTTGGTGATTTAAAAGCATAAATGCACTTTGAACCATTTTTACAATTACCTACAGTACCTAAATCAATTTTAAAATTATCTAGGGAGCTACTGAATAAAATATTTTGTGAAGTCAGAGTGCCCTCTTGTGGATGGAGGGGTGGCTTCTAGTTTTAAAAAAGTTCGAAAACGAGAAGGATTGAGACAGCAAAAGTCAAAACACAGCTTACATTTTAGAGAAAAATATTAAAATTTGAAACTTTTGTTCTGCTGTATACTGCAACTTTAATGATAATGAGCACTTCTGAGTTCGTTATTGCGGTTTTATATAATGCCTGAAGAGATACTCAGTTTTTCTAAATTCTCTGTCTAACGCTTATTTCAGTCTGACTATCTGCATAGAACAGTCACCTGTTTCCATTTCTTTGTCCAAATAGGTCTCGTTTTCCCAAGCAGCAAATAAAGGTGGTAAGCTTGTGTTTGGATTGTAGTACTACAGATTGCAAGAGGGGCTTACTCAGCCAAAAGTTGGATGCTCCCCTATCCCCTACCCCCAGTTCTGGACATAGAATGCTAGCTGACAGGGACAGAGGTGAGGCTACAGTGTTGATCTCTGATGTGCCTATTGTTTGTGTGTGTTTTGTATAGTAGAGCATTCCATCTTATGGACCCCTATCTGCAAATTAAAGTGATACAATTTAAACACAGGTTTGCTTCCTCAGTTACTGCATTTGTGATGACTAGGCACACTGTACATGAAGATATCTTGGCTAAGATCCAAAGAGCTGCTAGGCTTACTCTTGGGGTTTCTACTGGCCCAGTGACAAGCAGCTTACAAAACTTTCCTCAGCTTGTTCCTTAAAGCAACTTTCTATGCAGCAGATATGGTGACATTCCTGTTTTGCCTCTACTAAATCTTCAAACTCCTTTGAGCTCATAGACCTAGCTGCAAAGATCTTTGGATCCTGGCCCAACTTTCCAGTAACTGATTTTTAAAGATTTTTTTGCCAAAATCCACTTCTGGGTTTGGGGGGAGGGGGGACTCTGTTTCTTTAACACATTTGCAAGGAATTTAGTTACACCAGATTCAATTAAATTTAATTCCCAGTAAACATGTTTAGGATCACAGTCTTGATTGAGCGCAAAATAGTTTTGGATCAAAGTTTTCATACGTGCCTTTTGATAGGTAACAACATTAAATCGCTCAAAGACTGGGTAATTCAGATTCTGGAACAGGTAAGCAAGTGCATTTGGATTCCAAGTTTATATTGCAGTAATAGATGGGCACTGGCCCCAATGAATAGTTGCAAAGCTCCTTTCAGGAACGTTTTGACGAAGGCATTATGGAATTGCGTTTTTTTACAAAAGTATTTTCAGATATTAGTGTGGCATATTTTATTGTAAAGTATATTCATTGCTTTCTTCTGTTAGAAATGTGTTACTGGTTTCTATCATTTTATGAGAAATGGAAGGGAATCTGGTAAAGCATTCATAACTTTCATATTACTAGCATTTACTAAATAGAAATAGTATTTAAGTTTTAGATCTCTATAGATAGTTTGTTCATTTAAATTTTTTTTTCTCGTATCATTCTTGTGTCGTCCTTTCCCCCAAAATATTTTGCATTCTCAAGAGAGAAAAAATCCAATGAGAGGATATGTGCAATAGCGAAAGAGAAGAAACAGGGCCCTCATCCAGGACTCAAAAGTGGGGAACGCACAGTGTGATTAAGTCTCTCATTTTCTTATCACGCACTCTTGGGGGGGAGAGAGAGTAGGGGTGGGGGGAAGGGAGCAGTCAATCCACTAGGTGAAGGATTTCTGGTACAAACAAATTACAAGCGTGAGTTGAAGACGGCTGAGTGTTGTTGCATGAGTGCATCGTGTTCAGGCAGGAGTGTAAAGATTGATTGTGGTTGTGGTTGTTCATCTGCCCTTTCTCTCCAATATGTACTATTTCTCCCTCAGGGGAATCTTATTTATTCAACTAGACACACTGTGTGCACTGTGTAAAAGCTGGCAGGGCTGGATGGGTGCAGTTGGATTGGATCCTGTGCATGCAGCTGGTGCAAGAGAGTGGAGTGGTGATCCTACCCAAATCTCTTACTGACCGCAGCCCCAGAATAATATGGCTGTGAGAGTCCCCCAATCCCCAGCAATGCTTTTGCCAGGGGGAGATCACAGCGCTGCAGGCAGAAAGAAAAAGGGAAATATACCCTTCCTTTGGCAGCTCATTTGTAGGATCCATGTCATAGTATGCTGGCAAAACACAATCACTCTAAAACATGTGGATTCACCCCATGATAGAAGCAAAGTATATCAAATAGTTGTTTACCTCATAATGCTGTAGTGCTACCATTTAAAATTTTAGCCCATTAAACAGGAAGATGCCATTTCAGCCGGACCTCATTTGATGACAAAGTTCTTCAAAGTACCTTTGAAGGTACAATGGAATTATTTTGTTTATACTTTTCAATTTTTTCCCAATTTTTCTTTGTCCACTTAACAAATGAAGCAGTTAGACAACAATGTTGCTTGCTACTTCTCCATGAAAAGAATGGCTTTCAATTGCATTGGCACTCTCTACACTTCTTTTTAAAACTTCATTTTCATCTAGTCGCTGCTGGGAGAAAAGATTACTAAAAGTAACAATAATGTTCCCTCTCCCAACCCCCCCCCCAAAACCCCATCTTAACTTAAAAAACTGGGCTACTGTAGGCATCCTACCAAAAGGTCATATTGAGGCCTACAGCTTTCACTGCACACACTTTAATCAAATCTCTCTGGAATGCTGCTTATCAGTTTAGACCCCTTTCCCCTTAACAATACTCTTCTAACTTAATTATCTATAATTGCAAGATATTTGTACATAAATCACATGGGAATATGCAAGAACAGGGAGCTTTGTTGATAACCACTGAAAATGTAGTTTTGTATCTTATTTCCACATGAGACTGAATAGCTGAACAAAATAGCCACCATACACTTAGCCAGTTTCGTCTAATCTCCTTGTAAATCCAAAGTAAAGCCATAGGTTCCTTTCTTACATATTTTTCATCCTGTTAGTGAATCTTAGTGGGAACATCATTTGGTAGAGTTCCTCCACTAATGATAAAGAAGGAACTGAGTCCATGAAAGTTGAGTGATCCTACAGGCTTCGGTTTTGGAAAATTCCAGTTATCACCTCAGGATTTCATTCAAATTAATGCTGCAGGCAGATTTCATATTTGAGCACAAGGACTACACTGCTGATAGAACACTAGTTGTTTTAAATATCTGTTGGATTTCTGCAGCTAAATACTCCAGAATCCATCAGGCACAACCCAGGCTGCCTCCTAGAAAATCCTGCTATACATGTTAGCAATCAGTCAGGGTACTGTAAATAATTGAAGCATCTAACAGGTACGAATTGGGAGAACAATTTTCTGTATATGTCTGCTTTTTTTGTTAGGGTATGGGAGTTTTTCCTCTTTGGC